AGAAAGTGGGCCTGAGAGCAGCAGATTCTGGACCCTGAGCCCTGTGAGGACAAAGCCAAGTCACAGCTGGTCCTCCCATGCCTGGCTAACTTGCACTGGCCACTGCCAGTCCCAGTCAAAGATTAACGAAGTGCCATCGGTTCATTCTCATCAGGCAGTCTCACGCTTCTCTGTGCCTGGACGCAAAAAGCTCTGTGCTAGAAGCCTCTGGGTCTGACTTGAGGAGACAACCATGCCCCCAGGTATACAAAGGCTAGAGGTTTGAATTCCTGGGAACACATGAACTCCCTATAAGTGAGGCGGGGGGGTTCTCACCTGCTGCGTCTCTGTCTTAGCTGCTGGGGAAGGGAGCACATGTTCTCCAGCAGATGTGTGTCTCTCTCAGCTTTACCATACTTGGAGATACCCAGTGTGAACAAGGTCAAAGGCTACAGCTGGACTCCAGAGCAACTCAGAGCCAGCAACGGTTGCTGCTGTCGTGTAGCCTGAAGTAATAGAGAAAACAGTGCATCAGTTTCCAGCTTTGGTTACACAGGAAATGTGCAGAGAGGCATGCTTTTGGGGAGGCATACAGCCTTTCCCTCTCCCACTCCGCCAAGCCACCTAGTCCAGCAGCGCTTGGTCTCCTGTAGGGAACTGCTCTCCAATGCTGACACCCGCCGGACAGACCTGGGATTGCGGGAGCTGTGCAGCAGTAATGCAGGCAGACTTGCTCTTACCTAGCACTGCTCCACTGCAGGTCACAAAGTGCTACACAGCAGGCTGCCTCCCCTGATGCAGGTTTGGAGGTGAAAAGGAAGTCTGGAAAACAGACAGCAGAAACGTGAGGTACTGCTCTGTCCCGCTCAGATGCACAAATGCCCACTGAGGTAGTTGAGAGGCAGTTCTGATGCTGGGCTTGTTAGGATTTGTGTATTTCTGTCTTGCTCATCTGCCAAGTGATGTCAGGGCTGAGTCTCAGCACTTACCTCATCCCTCCCCAGAGCCTCGTGTGTTACTGCTCCAGCAATCGATCGTCATCTGGCTGGAAAGGCTCTCAGCCTGCAGTAAGGGAATCTGCTGGCCCAGAGCATCCAGGCACTGTAAAATGTCAGTTTGGAGTTGGACAGCTTTCCAGGCTCTTCACAGCAATCTCCTGGGACCTGTCCAGGCCAGGACACAGCCATGCACTAAGTTAACTCCTGCAGGGCTTTGGTGTGAGAAGAGGGCCCTGCCTAGCTCCGAGTAGCCCAAACAGGACCTGCCTACAGAGCAGACTGGTACACACAGGGCTTAGAGTCATCCTTTGAACTGGTTGTAGCCTCCTGGAAGGCGTGAGCAACGGAGGGCTCTTTTACCTCCCCCCCAACTCACTGCTTACACTGTAGCAGCACCTGGAAGCCCAGAGCCCACCTGTATTAGACACCATGCAAGCAGCATAAATAAGAAATGATTAACTTCCCAACCTCAGTGGTGTTCCCCTCTGCTTGCAGTGATGCTACAGGAAAAGAAACCTACCTGCCCAACCACCACTTCAGTGAGGAAAGCAAATACCTCTGGAGAGGCTCTCTAGTAGTTCCTCAGTGCAGCTAAGCCCTACACAACAGACTGGTGTGGCAGTGCTTAAAAGTGCCGGCTTCTGCATAAGGCAGCAGCAGGCACAGCACCACACTGAGCACACCAACACGTTTGCACACACCAGTAGCAAAAAAAAACAACAACAAAAAAAAAACCACCACCAACCAAACAACAACCAACAGCAAGGGCTATGGCAGTAAGCTCCAGCAGAACCACCTCTGCAGCCCACGCTCCCTCGTCGTTGGGGCCTGCGCAAAGGCATCCTCACAGCAAGTCCTGTCCCCCACACCCCAAAGCAGCACCCTGGGCAGGCTCAGCCAACACAGGGCCAGGAGGGAAACTGCCACTGCAGAAAAATTAATTCAGCAGTTACAGAACTAGGGAAGTGAGTCTGTGCACGCATATGTATGCGCACACACATACCACACGCGCACACACACCACACGTGCACATAGTTCCTAGTACTACAGGGCCCTCCCTCCACAACTGCAACTAACTTTACCAGGCATTACTGCATCACTGCTGACAGTGGGACAGAGGACCATCAGTAACCTCTGCAGCTAACAGGGGCAACCCATCAGGCTGAGTCCCACACCAATTGGATTAACTTTAAAATTTGCAAGCAATACAAGAGAAAGAATTGCTTGAAGTGACAGAAAGCAACAGTCAACGTATTTGCCATTTTTCCAGACAAACCCTCATGGAATAGGATTCCGGAACAGAATCACTACACTAATAGCCACCATGAGATGCTTCTAGGACTGTGCAAAAGGCTTTATATTTGCAGCATATCCCAGGAATGCTGTTTTGCCATCCTTTGTAATTGCCACTGTTCATCTACGCCTCAGGAAAACACCTACCCTTGTTTGCTGCACGGTTAATCACTCGCATGTAGTCTGCTCTGCTGCACCAGGCCTTCATGGCACTTTTTCCCCATCTTGACACACCTCCCGGTCAGGTGAAAGGCTTTTCTTCTTCACTCTCCCAAGCCTTTGGCTAAAGCAAGGTCTGGTGAGCTCTTCCTAAAGAAAGTGTACATATCCATCGCCCTTTTAATGACTAGAGAAGCTTGCCTGTGATACAGTGTTTTTTCGGGGGGGGGGGAGGGGGAGAGGGAATCCTTAAAAGTCAGTACATAATATTTTGTAATGCAATCTATTAAGCAACAAATCCTTCTGTATTATATGCAAATTCCTTCACATACATAAGTACAACCCTCCCTCCTGCCTTCCAGCTGAAAGCCCCAGAGTATTTTCTCAGGAAAAGCAGCAATTTCCTGCACTGTTGTATACTGCAGCCTCAGTGTTTGTTGCTAATGAGTCCCTGAGGGCTACACTCTATAAACAGCCTGTCTGCTGCAGATATTACACAGGCAAGGGTTAGCAGCGAGTTCTCTGCACTCCACACCATACCTTTACCCTGAAGATTTGTCGGCAACTTCAAGCTGAGTCCTGCCTCTTCAGAGCATTGCATTCAGCAGCAGAAGCAGCAGCAACAAGAACAACATGCACTATCATTACCTTACTGCCTGATTCATCACTAGCCAAGTATTATGTGCCTGGTAAACACCTACATTTTTCATTTATGAAGTTGTTATTTTTTTTTCTTCTAGCTAATTTTAACATGCAGCAGTAGCATTAATAAGCACCTCAATATCTGTCTCTAAGACAACTTTCTAGATGCTCTACTTATCTCCAATGTGCTTTACAAATATTAATTTTTGCCTTCACGCCTGTCCTCCCCCACACCAATAAGGAAGTTGCATAACCCCAACGCCACAGTCTCTCTCCCTGCGTCATAGCCCAAACTGGAATTCCCAACTGTGTGGGTTCAACCCCACGTTATGGCTGCAACCAACCCACAAATATAGATTTTTTTTTTTTTCAACCCTGTGATACTAGGGGCACAGAACCTTAACTCTGGAAGAGGCCAAGGCAAAGAAAAAAAGCAGCACATAAGTGACTGCGGAAAGAGCTAGTCATCTGAAGTCCGGATCTTCATGCAGGGACGTTTCGGCTTTGCCAACTCACATGCATACACTCAGGGCCCATCTCCTCAGCTTGTACCCATCACCCCTTCTGCTCAGCTGCTCTGCCACCTGATATGCTACCCCGAGCAGTGCTTTCAGCTGCTGCAATACAACACCTACACAAGATCAGAAAAGGCTGCTAAAACCTCCATTTAGAGCTGCACCTCCCTAGGCCAAAACACACTGACAAAGAATTACTGGTTCTATTCTCAAAAGAGAACAATGCAGGATTGCTCGCACTGTTTACCCGCTCAGGCTAGCTTTGAAGTCAACAAAACAAGTAACAGGGACAATATCCACAAGCCCTCGCTTAAAAAAAACATTACCTTGTGCAAAGGCAAAACTACGCAGGACAAAAGCACAAAATAAGATAGAAGACCAATACCTCCCTGCGTTTATTTTAAATACGGACAACAGAAATCAGGAAAGCAATGTTAAAGTCTCTCCCTGCCATAAGCAGAGCGACACAAATGCGGTTCATGAGGTCGGTCCCTTGCTGCCAGTCTCTGGGGGGGCTTGCCCACCTTCTCCCTCCGTAGGATGATTTTGTGACTTGGTATCTGCAGTGCTTTCCAGAAGCAGTTCCAGGGCTTCCTCACCAACCACACGTCTCACCTTCTCCCCTTTCGCTGCCAGGATTTCCTCGACATTCCTTAACAGCAATTTGAAAATCAACCGTGACACCTCAGCAAAGGATGGATATAAGACTCAAGTGTAGGCTCTTTCATGCTTTGCTCTCAGTATTAACAACATGCAGCAAATCAGCACATAAGCATTACCACAGTATTTCTCCATAAGGTGTTTTGGAAGCAGATAAAACTATGCAAACCCTCCGGGAATATTTTCATCTACTAGGATCACTAACCTAGCAATTACAGCTAAGCAAAAAAAAAATTAAAGGTATCTAAGGGAGTTGGAAATCATTGAAATCATAGATATCAATAGCATTTGGGTCCACATGTTTGAAACAGTCAGCCAGGGAAAACTAGCAGTGTTTTAATAAGGCCTAAGGGAGAACAAAAGAACACTACACAAAGCGATTCATCTGCCAACATGAACAATGACGTCTGTGTATCATACAGCTTCCAGTTCTGCTTTGAACCATATATTTAGGCCCTCGGTAATGAATAATGTTCAATTTATAGCAGTCTGCACAGCTCAGTTTGTGCACTTCAAGAAACTGGATGAAACAGAGAATTATACCGAACAAAAAGTTTGTTTTTAATCTAAACCACATTTAAAAAGCATAAAAGGAACAGTATATCAGCTCAGGAGGATGTGGTTACATCGCGACAGCCTTTTCCCTTGTTAAATAAGTGATACTGTTGCTTACACACCTACCTTTTTCCTTCCAGATCTGAAAACCATCCTAAATTATCTGCTATGACGTGGTGATTCTTGCAACCAGGGCACTTCACTATTACTACCCCTTTATGGTAGGCTAACTTGGAAATTGTTCTTGCTGATCGGGTCTGGCAGACCTACAAAAGCAAACAAACTAGATTTTATGACCAAGATGATCACAGCTGCTGGATCTTTTGAAAGAGACAAAAATATTTTATTTGCTTTATTAAAAGATCTTTTGTCCCCTTTTGCAAGACAGCTTGATCACGTTGTGATGATTTGTAGCTTCGTACTCAGGAACATGCTACAGATGCATTTCCAGCTTTGGTCTACAGAAAAAGATGCAGCCTCACAACATGTTCACCTGAGGCTCTCCGATTTACCCCTTGTTTCTTTGTGAAAAGCAGCTTTGAAACGTTTTCATAGCTTTACATGATGATGACGGTAACACAAAACTGCAAGATGAAATGAGCTATTGATGCTTTGGGCAGTTCGGGTGCCATTGACCTGCACAGCTGGAATATTAAACCTCAGAAGTTCGACCTGCATCTTCATCTACTCAGCGTTTATCCTCAAAGCTTTAACTTACTGCACTGAGAAATTATCATCGTTTCGAGTGAGAAATATAACTTCGAATTTAAAAAAAAAAACAAACAGAGCCCCGCTGATCAAAAGCTACTACTGCACAAAGGCAGCTAGTGGGCTGCTTAAGTTAAACACATTCCCCCCCACCACCACCACCACACACACTTAAAGGAAGGAAACGGGAAACGCTTTCAGCAGAAACCAGCCTTTCCCGTGCCCATTGCCACAGAGGCGGCGCCGCTGGCGTCATGCGCCGGAGGGGACTTTCCTCTTGGGAAAGAGCCGTTTCCTCGGTGCCCACGGCGCCAGGCTCGGGCCCGCCGCCCCGCGGCTCCCTCACAGCGGCGCCCCCTCACAGCGCGCGCGCGCCGCTCCCTCACAGCGCCGCCCCCTCACAGCGGCCCCTCACAGCGCGCGCGC